CAGAACGCGTTCGACACATTAAAAGAGAATCCTTTTTTTGTTTTATTCTTATATTTTGATTTTCTTTTATATAAATTTTTATATAAATTTTAAAGGCAACTTATCGGAATTCAATTGACGTATCACTGCTGTTGCTACTTCATATTATATGCTAAAATATTCGCTTGAAAGCAAACATATATACACATGCACATACAATATGAATACTAAGTATAGAAGAAAGTATAAAATTTATGTCTAACAAGGGGGGAACATATGAAAGAAAAAAAATCCGAGAGAAAAATGATATTTTATACTCACATAATATTATAATCATAAGTATATAAGCGTTTTATATCAAAAAAAAACAAAACAAAATGAGTGATATAAAATCTGTAGTTAAGTAAAAATTTTAAAACGGAAGGACTTCCGGAGCATTCTTTTTTTTATGTTCTTGTAATATCTTTTATGCATATGTGTATGTATTGATTGCGCTTATATCATACTTTATCGTCGTCTTTGTGGTATTATAGAAGGCACTCGACCAAAATATGTTTTCGGTATTTTATTGAATTTTTTGTTTTCATTTTGCCTTTCTCCTCTCTCTCTCTCACTCTTTCTTTTGCTACTGGAAAAGAAAATGCATCATTTTTTCAATTTATGTTTACTCATAAAATGAATGCAAAAAAAAAAATCAAGTTTGAATATAGTTAATATTTACCTATACCTGTATAATATATGTTTTACTGTATGTAAGTTCTTGATATACAGTTAACGACAATTGAAATTGGACACGTATATTCTAAATGTTATAATTAAGATGAATATCTCAGTTAAACACTAAGAAAAGATAAAGAGCAATATAAAAAGCAATTATTAATATATATATACAAAAATCTGACTCCCCTCCCCTAGATATACGTGACAATATGTATTGATTTCTTTCTATTGGATTGTAGTGATTCCTTTCATCTCAATTTCAATTTTGGATATCTATCAGAAATAAAACGACGTAATACGTTAACACTTATAAAATGATATAAGAATATGTCATTTTCTAAATAAAATGACATAACATGTCAAAAAATATTGAAAAAATAAAATCTATTCATCAATTATCACAAAATTTCAAAGTAAAGAATTAAAACAAGTGTCAGAAATCAGTTCGAAATTAGATACCATAAAAAAGGATTTTTCGTTATTAAGCTTTTATTTACTCTTGGTACAAGAAATATTGTATGTCACTGTATAATTTAATGACATTATTAATGTTTATAGAATATTTATAGCAAATATTAAATAAAATGATAATGTATCCTTCGATTAAAGCAGGATTTTTTTTGCTATATTTACTCGTAAACTAGATATCTTGTACTTTGTCAACATATACCGGATAGAAAGTTGAGACTTTTTTTTTGCCTTGTATTTTTTTTTCTTTGCAAATTATATTTTAATATTTAAACCATAATTATATAATGAAGATGGTAATTTTTATGACAATTTTTTTTGTAAGAAGAGGATAGAGAGGATGTGATAAAGAAAAAATGGTTAATTATAAACAGTTTTTTTTTCTCATCATAAAAAAAATATGAAAATCAGTTCTTCCTATATAAACCGTTTTACATTGTGTCGTTTAAAATTAATTAAAGGAAACTGTTAATAATTGCGATTTTATAACGAGATTTTCTTTGCCACACCTACATACATTTAGAATATTTTGTTTTAAATTAAAAACTTGTTGAATTAGGTAGGTTTTTTCTTAAATATTCATAGCTGTGTATAACTTTTAAGTAGATTGCATTGATATTACTGGAATTGATAATTATTTACATTATTGCTTAATAGACAAGCATAAGTCTAGTTCATAATAATAAAATATATCTTCTCTTCCGATTATATATTTCTTGAAAGTTGTACTCTTTAACAAATATTAATCGTATAATTCAGTTAATTTTCGTTTTAATAAAAATTAATTTTAAAATCACTTGTTGATTGAAGTTGAACATCTTAGGTGAAAAAGAAAGAAGATCAATAACCTTAATGCATACACATGCTGGATATATAACCATTTAATATTTATAAATATAATTTGTAATTTATATTTTTAATGTTGGATTCACAACGGAAATAAACACCTGAATTTTTATTATTTAAATGTGCATTTTTAAATAAAACGGAAGTAATCAACCGAAAATCAAATTAAATCGGATGTCCTTTTTGTTTTTTTTTTTTGTTATTATAATTTTTATGATTTTTTTTTTCTCTATAATATATACGATTGTAGTGTTAGTTAGTATTGTTTATGATTTTCGTATGTGTAAAAAATTGAACAGGTATAAAGGGATATTTTTGGGAAATTTTCTTCTTAAATTTTTTTTGAAGGAAATTTGAACTCTGAACCTCAGATTCTAAAGTATTTAAATTGCAAAAAAAATTATTGATAGTTTTGTATTAAAATTTGAAGACGGGTATGTTGTAAATTTAAATTTGAATAGTTGTTTGTTAAATTTTAAAGACGGGTTGTTAGCCGCTCTAACTTGGTTGATTTTAGATTATATATGCTCATCAAATTTTAAAATTTTAATATATTTATGCATTATTATGTTTTAAAGGCAACTACGACAAAGGTATATAAAATTTCAGCTGTTTTCAGCTTTTCCAATTTCAATTAATGAAATCATGATCTAGGACATAATTCACGCATAATTCAACAAATTACATACTTATATCTCCTTAAAACCACTGGAATAAATATGAAATTACAATCAATACAAATCCGATTTATCTTGACATTTAATTCAAGTTGCAATAATAAAAGTTAAAAATGTAAATGAAATGTCCTTGCCGACAACGAAACTTCTTTTTAAAAATCGAAGTTAAAGCATTGCATATGATTTTCAACTATATTGTAACTGTAAAGCAGTTGTTCACTTATAGTTATATCTAAGTTTTTAGTAAGCCTCTTAAAAATTAAACCAAAGTATACGTAAAATTTTAATTGATTTTGAAATTTTATAAATCAAACTTACGAAATATAAATTTACAATTTAAGATTATTATCACAATCAGTTGATTTCGAAAATGAATTAAAAATAAACATCTGTCTCAAAATACATACAAAATAAAAACAAAAAACAAAACAAAAATTTGAAAAGTAAAATTTCACAGGAGTGTAAAATACATACAAATATACATTCATAAATATCGTAGCATCCTTCATACTTATTTCCTAGCTATAGTTTTAAAGAATATTTAAGACTATACAAAAATACAAATATAATATTTTCTTAAGAAAAAAATTAAATGCATTTTGGGAGAAGAATTAATTTTGGTATACTCAAGTAATATTTTTATTTACAAAAATATTTTTGAATATCCTTCTTGGCATTGAAAAACCTCCGTACATTAACACTCTTCAGGGAATAAAAATAATGTTAGTTTTTATACACTTACAATATAAAAACAAGACTTGTCCATTTAAGTGTGTGTATGTTGTTTTAAGTGTATTTGTAAACCATAATAAATTATATCTTTATGTATAACATTTTATATTCCTCTTTTTTTTTTGTTTTTGAAAATCTTTAATATTTTTTTGAAGCCCTTATACAAAATTAAAAGCAAAATTAAAATTTATCATTATTTTTCATTCAAAGAATACTTTTAATATTGTTTTTTTTTTTTCGTTCTCCTTAGGGAGAAAACAATGATTTTGTTTCAGTATATCCTTTTTTTTTTATTTTTACTTTTATTCCTTTTATATTTTTAAATAGATGGAACGGAATAAGTGAACTTTTATATGTGTATACATTGTATGTATGCTATATTGTTCATAATTTTTACAGAAAATAGAACATCTGTCATATATTTGTATGTATTTTATGTTCTTCTTTAATATTCGAAAGTTAAGCAATAATTATTATAATCTTTCGTATCGTTACAGGACAGACAATAGAAATTTAGAAAATCTGTATAACACATATTGTTGAAACTATAAATAGTAAATATATATATATATTTATACATATACGCTGGTATATTTGTGTATGTATTTATAAAAGAAAATATAAAGAAAAAAAATGAAGTATACAAGAAAAATATAACAAGAAAAAAAAAGGAACAAGAGTTGTATTGGTCAACTATGGGATATTCTTACGAATTTGTTAAAATAATGGGAACAGCTGAAATTGCTTTAAATCTTAATTTCATTAAAATATAAAAAAAAACTTATTGTAACTAATAATAACAGTAAATTTTAGCAATTCAATTTCGTTACTCGAGGGCTAACAATTTTCTTTGTAGATCAGAATAAATTTTGCAATAATTCCCCCAAATATTTTTGCATCATTTTCGATAATTTTTTTGCCTTTTTTTGCAAAATAAATTTAATTGCATCTTTCGAACATCCCTATATACGTGCCTGTTTATTTTCTTTTATTTTGGATACTTAAATACTTGTTATATAAAATAAAGTAGGGCAAATGCTATTATGTAATCTTCTTTCGTTCTGGAGGGATGAAAGAAATAATATAAAAAAAACAAAAACAAAAGAAAGGACGACTTCTCATAATCTCTTTTCTTAAAGTAATAAAAGCCTTAATAAGAACCTTTAAAGTGGTGAAAGAACAATGTTTGAATTTTAACTTACATGGAAATTATGTATTTTTTGTACCATTAAATTCCCTATAAAATTGTGAAGATTTTTTTTATAAAAAATGTAATGTTTAATTTCTTTATAACCCCAGATGTTAAAGATCACATGAAACTTCTCCTTTTGTTAAGTATTTTATTGAAGGCTATAATAAAATTCAATGTCAATAATTGAGTATTCTCAAATTGTTTCTCAATTGTTTTCAAATAAAATTCTGGAAATTTCTTAAAATTTTACTTCAGAGTTTAGAAAACTTATTAAATTAGAAAAATTTTCATACAAATTTTTATATAAATACACAAAATTATAAAATTATACAATTTTTTTTAGAAAAATAAATGTTTTAATTTAATTTTTTTTTTTTTTTTTTTAGCTCGAAGGAGTCCAACATCATGCCCTGGTCCAAATAATTTACCTCCATTACAATTTCATTCAGTGCATGGTGATAATATTAGAATATCACGTGATGGTACATTAGCAAAACGTTATGAAAGTTTTTGTCGTGCAATAACATTTAGTGCAAGGCCAGTACGCTTAAATGAGCGTGTATGTGTTAAATTAACTGAAGTATCGAATAATTGGAATGGTGGTATACGATTTGGTTTTACTAGTAATGATCCTGCCACATTAGAAAGCTCTCTGCCAAAATATGCATGCCCAGATTTAACAAATCGTCCCGGTTTCTGGGCGAAAGCATTACACGAACAGTACTGTGAAAAAGACAATGTATTATTCTATTATGTCAATTCCTCTGGAGATGTAATTTATGGTATAAATGGTGATGAGAAAGGTGTTATATTATCTGGAATTGATACACGAGGTCTATTATGGACAATTATTGATGTTTATGGCAATTGTACAGGTATAGAATTTTTGGATGCTAGAGTTTATATGTACCAGCAACCAAGTAGTGGTGGCAGTGGTAATACTGGACATCAAATTTTAAGACAACAACGTTCAAATTTAAGTGAAAATGAAATGAATCGTATAATGCCATCAATGCAATCATTAAATTTAAATGATGATATAAATAATTTAATACCGCCAGTAAGATATAACGCTAGTGGTCGATTAATACCAGTTTCATTCCATAATACAAAAGGACGAAATGTACGTTTGTCACAAGATCGTTTTGTAGCATCACGAACGCAAGCTGATTTTTGTCAGGGTTATGTTTTTACAGCTAGGCCATTACGAATTGGCGAAAAAATTATTATACAAATTTTACAAACCGAAAATATGTATGTCGGTGCTTTGGCATTAGGTTTAACATCATGTAATCCAGCGAATTTACAACCATCTGATTTACCAGATGATTCAGATTTTTTATTAGATCGTCCAGAATATTGGGTTGTTAGTAAAGATATTGCATCCCAACCACAGAGAGGAGATGAAATTAGTTTTTATATATCGCAGACTGGTGAAGTAGCAATTACAAAAAATGATGGACCACCTGTTATTGTTATGCACGTTGATCAAAGTTTACAATTATGGGCGTTCTTAGATATATACGGTTCCACACAAAGTGTTCGAGTTTTTAGACAGCCATTATTAACAAATGTAGCCGTATCACAGCCACAATTATTGCCAACGACAACTATATTATCGCAACAACAACAAATATCGCAATCACATTCATCTTTACAGCATTTACATAATGCGCAACAAATTACACAAGTTCCTGTCTCGACAAGAAATTTACAAGTGAATTTACCGTGTTCAGAATCCATAAACAGTTTAAATTCTCAATTATCGGAAAGCAGAAAATTAGCACATTTAACAACAACAGGAGGTGTTATACCAGCAACGGCAGTAGCAAACGCAGCTCCAACTGCCACAAATGTTAGTTGTACTCCTCTAAACGTACTTCCAGGATCGCAATCGAATCAAGTGCAACCAATACAAACTGCTGTTGCACAATCTTCATCGAATAGTCGAATGATATCTTTACCATCAAATGGTGATATGATTCAAATACAACCAGGCGGTACTGTATTAGTGGTTAATCTACCCCCAGCAGAAGCTCATATTACATCTAGCAACAGTCAAACGAGATTAAATGGAAATATTACAGCAAATGTTCCTAGTTCAAGTCTAGCCGCTGCTGGCATAACAAATGGGTGTGGTGGTAGTTCACAGTTCATAGAGGTAAATAAATTGTTGCATACATATGCATCTGTTAATTTACAAGTGAAAAATTATGTAATTAAAGTAAACAAAATTTTTTAAAAAGTAACCTGTTTTGGAATTGGATTGAATTTTATTTTTTATATTTTTAGCCAATAACAACATTAAAATGTAGTGAAATTACAAGTCAACCACAATGGAAAGACAAAAATGTTCCTGCTGAACAACAAAATTCCGGAGCTGAATGTACTATTTGTTACGAAAATCCAATTGATTCCGTCTTATATATGTGTGGTCATATGTGTATGTGCTATGAATGTGCGATAGAACAATGGCGTGGAGTAGGAGGTGGCCATTGTCCTTTATGCAGAGCTATGATACGTGATGTTATACGTACCTATACAACGTGATAAAATAAAAACGATATTTAAAAAGAACATTTTACATGAGATTGAATTTTATGTTTAAAATAGTAATCCAAATTTTTTAAAATAAAAATTAAGTAAGAAGAGAACATTTAAAAGCAAAGGTTTAAAATCTAAAAAGAATTGAACTAAATTTGTATTAAAAGCAATTTCCTTCATCTACACTATTCTATAATGCAAGTTTCAAATTAAAAATGTTAACTTTATTAATGCAGATTAAATATATTTAATATGTTATAAATAAATTTCTATTGTCCAATTGTTCTTCTCTTCAGATTAAATTTTGGGTTTTAGGGTATTATTATAATAGCTCTCATTTTTAAAACTGAAATAGAAATAAATTATTTTGTTATTTCAAAAAAAATTTAGTTCAATTTTGTTTAGATAAATTAGTAAATACTATATAAATTAAATTTATTTGTGAATATTTGTTTTCGTTATGCATGTAATGTTATTATTATTTGCAGAATATTAATTATTATTTGAACCAAATATAGTAATTTAAAAAAATTGTTTTATTTTTTTTTTACATTGTAATTATTATTTTTTAAAAATTTTGTAATTATAAATTTAATTTTAAAATTTTAATTATTAATTCAACTTAATTTTAATGATTTAAGAAACTTTGTTTTAATTATTATGTATTTAATTATTAAAAATATTAACATTTTTTTTTATGTGTATATATTTTCAAGAGGGCATTTTCGTATTTATTATTTTATTAATATTAAAAAAAAGTTAAAGAAACTATACTCAATTGTGATTCCATATTTAATAATAATGAATTCTTTATGAACTTAAAAGACAAAAATAAGCAAAACTCAACATTATACAAAAAAAAAAAAATAGCCAGTTATATTGAAGTAAATTTATTGCATTAAATTTTACTATAAATAAAATAATATATAAAATAACTTAGATAAATTTAAGATCTGTTGTACTTTTAAGATACTAAACTTATTAGTTAAAAAATTGAAAAAATTTAGATTAGAATTTAGTACAACGCAAAAGTATAATTTAATGAAAAATTACTTTTTGTTGCAAAAGATATTTTAATTTTTGTAAAACAATGTAAAAATACAACAGACTAAATGTTAAAATTAAATTTTACAATATAACCAAAATAAAGACAAACAAGCTTTTTCCCTTTTCGGTAAACTTTTAATTTTTAGGTCATTATTGGTGCTAAATATATAAAAAAGAATTATTAGAGCGAAAATTCAAAAATTTGATTATGAGAAAACAAAAGTAAAAAATTTTTAAAGCAATAGAAAGCAACAAAATAAGGCAAAACCTAACAAAAATGGACAAAAATAATTTATTGAAAATTGAAAAATCGTAAAAACTGCATATTGCAAATAATAAAAATAGAATCAAAAGTTGTAATGTTGAGCACGAAATTCGGGGTTTCTTTTTAATAGAGCAGTAACAATCACTTCTATTTATTATAATTTTACAAATGATAACAATAAATGAATTTGAAACCTTTTATTAATATAAAATTACAAAGTTCAACTTTTAATACCATTCAACTTTTTTGAAAGTTATTATTATTCAAATTTTAGATATGTAAGCATGTATAATCAAAATACAATTATGAAAATTTTACTGCTTATGTTTTTAAAACTTGAGTTAGATATTTAAATATTATTAAGAACTAAATAAATAGAAAAAGAAAATAAATAGAAAACGAAACATAAAAATATTCAAAAAAAAAAAAAAATTGTTTAAAATAAAAACAAATATAATATATAGTTACAATAACAGCAAATTAATTTGCCAAATATTTTTTACAAATAAATTTATAACTAAACAATAATATACATAATTAAGATTTAAAATATGTTAAGAATTTCAAATAAGCCAAATGAAGAAAAAATATAATTATTTTTACTTTTATTTTTAATTAAAATGAATGATAGAATCTCTTTTTCATATTAATATTAGTTTTTGTACAAAATCGATATAACTTTTTTCTATAACATTCAGTGTTATAAATTTCTTAAAAACACTTATATTGCAATCACAATTATTTTCTTCACATTTTTAATCAAAAGGGGCATTTGTTTAATTGTTTTATCCTTATAAATTTTCCATTTAACTTCAATAGGTACATATATATTTATTTTAGTAATTTTGTAATTAAGAAGAGCCAAATAAATTAACTTCCGTATTTTTAAATTTTTTAAAATTCATTATACTATTTATTTTAAATAAATATCAAGAATCTAATATTCTAAGTTTAATTTTGTTTAACAAAGGATCTCAGTAATGTAGCCCCTTTTTTCCATTTCATATTTCGTTTACAATTTTCATTTTAACAATGAAATATATATATATAAAAAAATAATATAACTATCTTATAAGTGACCTGTTTCATTTTTTAAATGTAATCATTCAAATACGATACGAAAACAAAGAAGAAAACTTTGTTTTTTTGAATGAATTAAAATAAATATTACAATTAAAAATTTTTAAAAGTTTTTTGCAATCAAAATTGAGAAAGAAATACAAATTAATCTCAACAGTTCTGACAAATATATTATTATATGAAAGTAGTTAGTTCATTTTTAATTGCACCAAAAAAAAAAAAAAGTAATTTAAACAAAAAAAAAAAATTAAAAAAAAATATTAACGTAGGAATTTATAAAAAAAACAAATTAAAATACAGCTAAATATACTAAAAATTTAAGACAAATACACACACTAATACTACACTACTCTTAGAATTATAAATAAGTAGTATTATGTAAATATAGAACGGATTGCTATTTTTGTTTTAGGAAGATAATTGGAAAACAAAACCATTTTTCAATAATTTATTTGATCAATTTCGTGCACTATACATTTCATTGCAAAGAAAAATTATTGTTTAATTGACAAAATAAAATTGAATTTCTTTTTTGTTAAAATATATAAAATAAATTTTAAAAAAATTTTAAATATAATCCATATTATGTTAAAATCAAAATTTTAAATTAAAAAATTATTGAATATTTAATTTGTGGAAAAACTTACTATAGAAATGTATAGTCTTAACACATTTTGTTTTTTAAAATCAAAACCATAAATTTTCGTAAATATTTGGAATTCGTAGAACTTTAATAATAAATTTTAATTTTGACAAAGAGAAGAAAAAAAAAAATCTTTAAAAATAAAATTTGTTCATAAATACAGAATAAAAGTAAATATCATTCTTATATTCTCAATTATGAGATTTTGAATTAATTTAAACAATAAAAAATTTTTGTTATAATGATTAATAATAATTTATCTCTTAAATACTTAATGTAGTTGTACCATACATATTAAATATTTTCTTTTTATATTTAAAATTTACGAAATATTTTAATTTTATAATTATTTAATTACTTATACATATATATGTACATAAATTTTATATCCTTAATTTGAATTTTTTTCCCAAAAACAAAAGGAATGACTGTTACCAATATACATTAACCAAACAGATGAAACCAATTGAATTATAATTAAAAAAAAATTAAAAACAATTAAATATTGTTAAACACAAACAAAAAATATAAAAATTAAATATATTCTTTATTTTAGTTTATTACGATGATTACAAATAAGTAAATATTTTAGTTAAAAAAAAAATGAAAAAATTATGTATTTCAAAATGAAGACCGTCAAAATAATTTAATGAAGTAGAAAAGAAAAAAAAATATATAATTTAATCTAGTCAAATATAGCAAAAATAATAATTTGTTTTTTTTTTTTACTGCATATTATGAATTAAAATACAAAAAAAAAAACTAATATATATTCTGAAATTAAAAAAAACCATAACATTTAATAAAAAAATTTAATAAAAAATTAAAGAAATTTAAAGATAAACGCGTTAAAATCGAACTATTTTCAGAATATTACTTTTACATGCAAAGCAAACAACGATAATATTATTGATAAAAATTAAAATTTATACGATTTTTGTTTTTTTTTTTACGTAGAGTATATAGTCGGCATTTATTATTAAAAATTATTTAAATTATATGAAACGAAATATAATGTAATAAAAAAAAATATATGTGAGTCGTTCGGGTATGTGAATGCTATGGTTGCTGGAAATCGACTGTGCTTAATAATGAAAATTTTTGCTTTCTTAATTTCCGTGCCAATAACTTTTTTATATTAAATCTCTGGTTGTTTTATTATTGTTCTTATGAAATTTATTTTAGATTAACTATTTAGATTTTACAAAAATATAGCTTTTTGCAGCTAAAGTGGCAAATAAATTTTTTACCAAACAAACTTTCCAGTATTAAGTATGTTTCGTGGTAAAGTGTTCGTGCGTTTTAGGCTTTCTCACTGCCACATAAAATAGCAATATTATAAAACTGAAAGTATATACTTCGGTTTGATGTAGCCGAGTAGGCCGACTTGAATGATGGGTCTAAATCCATATACACATATATTTTAAATCATTTGAATTTTGGTAAACTATTTTTATATAGTTTTCTTGATATAACGGCACTTGATATACAAATAGGGCAATTCACAACATTTTAATTAATCATTTTATGAACTTCAGCACAATATTAAAAGTCGGAAATATGCAGCACTACCCACGATCTCCACATATATAATATATAAATTGTGCATTAAATTTTTTTTTTATTAAATATGCGTTTACTTTTAACTTGCATGTAAATTTTGTTAATATTACAAAAAAACAAAAACAAAAATCAAATATATAATATGAAATATTATGAAGTTATTAAGAAAATATTAAATAAGAATTGAAAAAAAAAAAAATGCATACACATTAATATACTATGAAAAACACCAGAAAACTTATGATTTTCAAAAATATCATTATAATTCTTTTATTTTCTATGTATATTATTATTATTTTTTTATTTTGTACTTGTATAGGATATTTGTAGTTTTAATATTTATATGAAAATAAAAAAATTAAAAAAAAAAAATGCTTTGAAATTAATAGAACAAAAAGAATACGTTTTATATTATAAAAATAAAAATGACATAAATATTAAAAAAAAATGTTTTTTATTTTTTAATTAACGTGAATCTAATGAAAAATTATTTTGAATTTATCTTTATTTACTACAATTTGCTACGAATTTGAAGACTTTTTTTATGTATTCAGATTTATTTGAAAAAGAATTTAAAGTCAATTCTCTACTTAAGAAAAAAAGAAGAAAAAGAGGTTCGTGGATTCTTTCAGAACGTAG